AAAAATTAAAGTTAGAACCAATCAAAAACTTTGAAATTAGTAAATTAACATACCATAGACATCATCCTCGTTAGGTTGATCTAAGAACATTCCATTGAATACTACAAAAATTTTACAATATGAATGAATCAAATATTTTGAACTATAGTTCGTCTGAAAATAGGAATAAAGTCTTACCAAACATCGGAGCTGCACCAATATCTCCATAGACAACACCTAACGTTTTAATGAAGATCAATTTCTCGAAAGCAAATTATGAAAGATGAGTGGTATACCTAAAGCTTTGAAAGCTAAAGGCAAGGTTCGATAAATTCCAAGATTAGGCTAATACAATAATTGCAGAGTTAATAAAGTTAACCTCTGATATTTATAAAACCTCGATACTTTAAATACTGTAGCTCACCCGTTTTGAGTGTAGAGTCTCTAAGTCCGAATTATCATCGGTCATTTTTTAAACGTTGTTAACGTTAATTATGGCTATTAAGATTTTTTGAAACAAAAAAACTTGGTATTAAATAATTTTTTTTTTTTATTTGTTATCTAATGTTTCAGTGTTCCGAGCATACACGTGTCAAAAAACCTTATCTTTAATTTTGAAAAGTTGCATATTAAAGATCTACGTAGTTACGCAACAGATCCCAATTACTGGCTTTTACGTATACTCGGTTTAATTTAAAATTAGAAATAAAGACCACTTTAGGAATTATAATAACTTTATTCATCATCCATAAAGAAATAGTCAGTCAATCAATCTACTCCTCTAAGAATACTTAAAATGTAAAATCTTTTTCAATTTTAATTTTTTAGAATATTCGTATTTCGGGATCAATTATATTAAAACGACTAGAATGGTAGATAACAATTAATTTGTAAAAGCCAAGAATATTTCTAAATATATATGACAAAAATTTTTTTTTTTAAACCAATAACGTCACGTTTTCACCCCAACTAACATGATAATTGTGTTTTTTTTGCTTTTGATCAATGACAGGAGCTTTCTCTACACATTTTCCTTTTTGGTCATCCAAATCAGGAATAATTTCATTGGTCATCAAATTGTTAGACATCATATTACCATCAATTAGCATATCGTCATGTTCCTCGATAACAATATCATCTTTTTCAACCATTATTTCATCTAATTCTTCTGTATCATCTTGTATTCTCAATTCAGGTTCATCATCATTATTTATCATTACTTCAAAATTCAGAAAACATGGATCATCACCATTAGAGATAGCAAGTGCAATTTTCAAATCCGATTCATCAAGTTCCTTTAAAACGTGATTCGTGAACATAGAATCACCTTTACTATATACATATTTTAAAACTTGGCACCTCAATTTATTTAGTCCTAGCCATTTAGAGATTCTTAATGTAACTTTCCAGTGCTGTTTATCCCACTATCAATGTAAACGTGTGTGTTAACGTTTAACCCCAATTTTTTTTAAAAAAGAACCAA